AAATAACAAAAACGATATACTAAAAAAACAAAATAAAACAAAGAATTCAAAGTAAAAAAAAAAAAAATATATATATATATATATATATATATATATATATATATATATATATATATATATATATATATATATATATATATATATATATATATATATAACAAAGAGTTCGAAGTAAAAAAAAAACAACAAAATATAACAAAAAAGCCGAAATAAAAGACAAAACATAACAAAGAAGTTGAATTAAAAAAAATATATATACAACAAAGAAAATAATAACAAGCAACAAAACTTTAAAACAATCGAAACAATAATATGTAACCAGCAGCAGCAGGAGGTATTCACTTACCACCTAACAAAGAGGTTATAAGTTTTATACATTCAAAGATTAAGGATCCTTTTTATAAATACGTTTTGTTTATTCAATTCATGGACGCGACGAACCAACAAGCTATTTCGGCAATTATGCCACCGGTATTCGATGGCAACCATCAGCGGTTTGTCGAACATACATAACCTTTACTACAGTTATTGAAGTTCTGTATTAAAATTTCTTTTCGTGACAATAGTCACTAACAGAAATCACAATAATGCTTTTAATTATTCTAATAGTTGACATTCTCACTGGGATAAAATTATACTTTACTTTTAGCATCAGATTAAACTTGTCTTTTTGTAAAATAAATTTCAAATTTTTTATTAATAATGCATTAACTACATTTCATCGCTTACATTACTACATATTTGACTAAGCAAGGGCATTATTATATAATATAATATTCAATGAGTAATATAAGCATACCTACAATCTAACATATTTACAATCTAACATATTTACAATCTAACATATTTACAATCTAACATATTTACAATCTAACATATTTACAATCTAACATATTTACAATCTAACATATTTACAATCTAACTTATTACAATAACAAATTTTAATTTGATTTCTCTGAATTGGAAGTTGATGGTAAACTAGAAAAAAATTTATTTTTTACTCTCGAAAACCATTTCTATCGGTTGCTCCCGCCAAAAAATGTACAATCGCGTTTTGAATATCGCTTTCTGTGGCTTGTGCAGTCGAGGGATTTCGCTTCAATGCGCCTGTAAAATTAAAACGCAGAAGATAACATACATATAAAATCAAACGATGTCACATTCTCAACTCGTATATTTATTTGGAGAGTCAACTAAAATTATTAAGTTAAATAGTTTAAAGTTTAGTCAAACCTATTTTAAAATATAAAGATTTTGGTATATAATTGACATTTCCCAGACAGCAAGTTTATACTGGTCCGATAATGGCTAGCCAATGCCAGCGAATTCATTAAAGGACAGGTAAAGTTCCGTTCGTGGGTTGCCAGTTCTGGTAAGCCGTAACAGGACCATTGCCATGCCTTTATAACATTGCCTGGGCAGGTTAGCCGCAATAGTACCAATAGAAATACTGTTCTAGTATATTTTCTTTTACTTCATTACTTTAAAATCTTTTGAAGATTATATTTTATTAAACAGAGTTTTTGTTTTTAAAAACCTTTTCAGAAGAATTGTTGCAAATTAATTATATTGTTAAACGAAACAAGTTTTTTATTGTATTGTTAGTTTAAAAATGAGCTACTGGACTAAACGAAGGAAGATTCAAAAAAATGTTGCATCTATTTTCGATGAAATCGCTGAAGCTAATAGTTTTGTTTTGAAAGATAGTTCATTGCCTTTGAATATAAGCTGCAATAACTCAAAGTTTGATGCTACTCTGGAGAGTTTTAAACCTATCGTCACATCTATTTTTTCTTTAAATTCAGTTTTTCATGATTGTGTCAACAGCTCTGATGGAATTTGGGAAACCAATGATGGAAAATTAAACATTTCAGAATCAATTTTATCCACAGACAAGTCAAATGTTATAAATGTCGTAGTTAATGATTTGACCAGTTGGGCAACTAGGAACAACATTACACATGCAGCTTTGGGTGATTTATTAGTTATATTGCGAAAATCAATTCCTGGCTTACCAAAAAGTTCCAAATCTATTCTGAAAACTGAACAATTAAAGGTTGACGTTTTTGAAAATTCCTATTCTTATTTAGGCATAAAAAATAGACTTTTATCTAAAAGTACAGAATGTTTTACAGATAAGACTGTAACAATTCAAGTCAATTTTGATGGTTTGCCTCTTTTTAAAAGTTCAAGCATGCAGATACGACCAATTCTCGGTTTAGTGGAAAAATTTGACGGAATATTGCAATGTAATAAAAAACCATTTGTTATTGCGCTGTACTGTAACAATAGCAAACCTAAAAACATTACAGCTTTCTTATCTGACTTTGTTTTATAAGTTAATGAGCTGAACAAAAATGGTATCATACTTAACAGTCAACATTATTCATTTAGAGTTTCTGCAATTATTTGTGACACCCCAGCAAGGGCATTTGTAAAATGTACTAAAGGTCATAATGCATATCATGGCTAATTGTGAGCAGCATGGTGTATATGAAAAAAGTCTTGGTCCACGTGCAGTATTAGATTTATCAGAAAAGTTGCTTCATTTGAAAAAATATATATGTTCAGAATTTGCTCGAAAACCAAGAGCATTTTCTGATTTTGAACGCTGGAAAGCTAAAGAATTTCGACAACTTCTGTTGTATACTGGAACGGTTTGCTTTCAAGATACATTAACTGATGCTTTGTACAACAATTTTATGCTTTTTTGTGTCGGAATGACTATTCTTCTTAGTCATTCATTGTGTCACAAATATGTTGATTATGCACATATTTTGCTTGTACTTTATGTGGAACACTCTTCAAGTTTATTTTGACCTAAAGTTGTAACTTATAACATGAAGTTGTAACTTGTAACATGCATGGACTAGTGCATTTAGCACAAGATGCCAAACAATATGGTCCACTAGACAATATTTCAGCCTTCCCTTTTGAAAATTATTTATCAAATCTTAAGAAACTTGTGAGAAAACCACAATTACCTTTGCAACAAGTTTTAAGAAGGCTATCAGAACAACATCTTGCAGAGTCAATCAATAGTGAAACTAATAGCACACTTTTTCAGTTAAAAAAAGAGCATTTTGATGGACCTTTGAGCAATAGTGAAAATATAAATGTGCAGACTCAACAAAAAGAGCTCTATACAAATTTTGTATTAAAGTTTCGCAAGATGAAAATTGTTTTAAAATAAAAACTGGCTCTATAGTTCTAGTTAAAAATATTATTAAAAGTTGTTGTGGTCAAATTTATCTAGTGTGCAGCAATTTTAATAGCGTTGAGAGTTTTATGTAAGTAATTACTTACATAAAAGGAAAAGAACAATAAATATACAATTCTTTTTATATTGTCCCGCTTTTCAGAAAATGTTTTTCTACTAGATTCCCTTACAAATGTTAGCCTATTTAACAGAACCGGATATGGTATTGTGACACCATCGCAATAAAGATTACCTTCAAATGTTTATTATCTCCTCCCCTATCATCCTTACCAACATTTTAATAGAGATTTTATATAAGAACTTTTTTTCACTTTGATAGTGTTAACAAAAGATTTAAATGAATTAAAACTTTTTTAATTTTTAAATTCTAAGTTTAAAAAAAAAGATCTACTTTCGATAACTATTCTGCAATTTAAATCACGGAAAGACTGTTTGACTATATCACCCTGACCTGTCCAATTTAGTTTTTTGAGAACATCATTATGTAATAATGACAACAACATTCTCTTCACTGCCTCTTTTAAGTTTTTCCCACCTTTAGAAGCAACTGCTCGTATCTAGATATAATAAGCAATAAAATAAACAATAAAACAAATAAAATAAAATGTCTTCGAAATGAAACTTTTGACAATTAGCACAAAAAATATATTAACTTGACAACATACATTTAATTTAATTTAGATTTTAATTTCCAACTTTTGCTTTCTTACTGCTAATTTAGTTTTAGAAAAGAGAAATAAAGATTAAATGTGTTTAGCATTAAAATTTTCTTGAGTTGCAAAATTTTAATGCTAAACACATTGTGGTGAACTTCAATAAACCATTAGAAACTTTATATTTTCTTTTAAATAACAAAATAAATAATAAAAAAGTAAAGTGTAAAAGTTAAGATCAGTTAAATGAGTGAGCAACTTACAAGCTTTTTCGTTGATTTTTTTTTATTTCTAAGTGTTTTTTCAAGTTGCAATAACTGAGCCATATTGCATAAAGGAAGTTTAAGAATATCAAAAATTATATGGTCATCAACATGAACTCCACCATTAGCAATATTCTGAAGCATGGCTGTGTTGTATGTAACCTCTTTTCTCAGATTTGCCACATCCTCTTTGAGTTCCACTAACATTGAAACTATTTTGGTTTGTCACAGCCGATTGCAACATTTCTTGTGATCTCTGCTCCTCATCTATAAGATTTATTTTAGATTTTATTGCAGGAGGCGTGAATAAAAGTAGTGGAGTTAGCATTTGTGCGCTTACAGATTTTGATGGTGTAAGTTGCATGGATGTTCCAGAGGAAAATATTTTTGGCGTAACCGAAGCTGGTGTCAACAATTTAACTTTTTTAGAAATTGGAATAGATTCTTCCACAAAAAATTCTGTTTTGCTGTGCTCATCAGGATACAAAAATGCTCTTCACATAAAATAAAATAAAAATACTTAGAACTTAATAACTTTAAAACCATAAAGTTGTATTTACAAAAAAATATAAATTTTCTTCTATTTAGTACCGCTTTGGACGTAGCCTAGTACTTGATTCTGAATCACTCTGCAGATCATATGTTATGGTAGCTTTTTTAAGTTGACATTGTGCCTTGTTGTCGGAACCTGAAATACAACATTTAAGTTACACTCTTATAACAACACCATCAATGTCACAACTACAGTATACAATTATCACTATTTCTTTTGTACAATAAATTACAATATTTTGACATTAATGCAGGTTATATCTTTAGCATATTATGTACATATGTGACTGACCTATTTTTTTAATAACTTGAATGGCATGTTTTCGCCAATTTTTATTAGGGGTTTCACATTCTTTGATAGCCTTATTTACTCTGCCTTGTAAGGTATATGGTGGCCAAAAGCAAAGTTCATTACTAATTAAATGTTTCTGGCAAAATTGCAACAGCATCTTCTTCATTTTTAAAAGCAACAATAAGAAACTGATGGAGATCCATTCTAAAGTTTATTCTTAATTACATAAAAAACATAACATCAAAAATGAAAAAAAAAAATAAAGCTCAGTATAAGAAATACTACTTTTATTTTGTTTTTCTGATTTATAAAATTTTCAAAAGATTTTCAAATGATTCCATTATTAGAATATAATTTCAAAGATTAAAAATTTATTTTAAAGAAAAATTAAAATTACTGAAATGAAAATTTAGTGCATAAATTCGGGTTACAATGTAAACCTCCACAAAATCTTCAACAAGGACGTGTCTTAGGATTGAGAGTCGAAAGAAATAAAAATGGGGAACTGATAACGAAACGAGACAATGTGGTACAATTTGAACTTTTAAATGCAGTCACACGATCGCAGCTTTTTAGCAAGTTAGGTAAACTCATTGGAAATTACCCAGTGGCAGGAATTTTGCGTTTACAAGCTTCATACATCAAACTTTTAGCTGGAAATATACCTTGGTGTGATTTTATTTCAAAAGATTATAAAGAAAAACTGAAAGATTTGCTTCATTGTGTGGAAAAAGAAGATCCGTTTGGTGGAAAATGGTTGGTACCAGTGAATGGAAAAGCTGAGCTTTATTGTGATGCATCATCCATAGGACTTCGGGTAGTTCTGCTCAATGGTGGAGTAATTGCTGAAGACGCAGCATGGCTACGACCAGCAAGTGACACACACCATATCAATATAAGTGAACTAGATTCAATACTTCGAGGACTAAACTCAGCTAGTAAGTGGGACATAAAAGAGTTAACAGTATACAGTGATAGCAAGAGCACCGTAGGATGGTTAAACGCAGTTTTAAAGGAAGAATATCGCGTAAAAACTCGTGGAATTTCTCAGTTGTTAGTACAAAGACGGTTAAATACGATTAAGGAAGTGGCAATAGGTACCCAGATTGTAGTAGAATGGATTCCATCCGAAATAAATTTGGCTGATCGACTCTTACGAATCCCTCAAAAATGGTGCAGAACATGTGTGCAGTTATTACCTGAACAAAAAGACATATGGAAAATTCATTCGATTGGTCACTTTGGTGTCGCTCAAACATTACAACTTTGCTTGCGAAATAACCAGTATGTATCACGTAAGGAGGTTTCAGCAGTAATAGCAAATTGTAACCAGTGCAACTCCAACGATCCTTACCCCCTACAGTGGAAGAATGGTCAACTAAGCGTAGAAAAAAATTGGAATCGGGTTACCATTGACGTGACACATGTAGGTGCTGAACTGTACTTATCGATGATTGATTGTGGTCCATCACGATATACAATATGGCGTAAACTAATAACTAAAACAGCTGCTGAAGTTGTTGGTAAATTTGAAGAAATATTCTCTTTATTTGGACCGCCAGTATGTCTTCTAATAGAAAACGAATTTCGGCCCAACATGTTAACAAGCTTTGCTGAAGAATGAAATGTTAATTTGGAATATCGAGCAGCACATTGAGCTCAAGGTAATGGTATAGTTGAACGCATACACAGGACGATATAAAGAATAGTTGCTCGCTCACATTGTTCAATCGCTCTGGTAGTCTTGCTGTACAACGAGACAATATCATCCAATTGTACTGAAAGTCCATCCGAGCAATTAAAGAGAAAACCAACTTGTTTCATCCCAGGTATCGATATTTGGAGGAAAACAGACGAGAAAGGCGTCAATACGAAATTCAAAGAGGGAGACAAGGAGTGGGTAAAGCCAGCTCAAGAAACAAAATGTGACCAACCGTGGATACCAGGTGTAGTGCGAAAGCAAAATACTTTATCGTTTGACGTCGAATATGCAAATCGGGTATATCCGCGTCATATTTCATATCCTGCGTCGCCGTACAGACCTACAGTGTTCAAATGAATCAGTCAAAGATATTTTTTACAGACTAAAAAATAAAAACGATAACGCTAAAGGAAGATATCACGATGATGTTACTCAAACTCAAAATTATTCTCAAGAACGTGTTCTGCAAGTAACACGGACGAACAGTAAGGCCCCCACAAAGATTAGACTTATGAGTTAATTCACCAAGAGGGCGTATTCTCTTTTTTATGTTGGTAAATTGTGCATGTTGAAAATCACGTAGATACGTGTTGAAAGTCACGCGTTTTTTCAATTGTAATTAAAGGTATTCTCATGGGACTTTTTGTTATTTTATATATGTGGAAACGATTTTTGTATAGAATTAGTGAGGTTAAAAGAAAGCTATAAAATGATACGTTTTGTTTATTCAATTCATGGACGCGACGAAATAACAAGAACGCAAAAATATATTTTTAATGATATCAAAAATTGATGGAGGGAGCAGAAATAAATAAAAAAATATCACTATAAAGGCATCCAAAAAATAAAAATTTAAAAACCAGTCCAAACGATTTGAAAAATAAAAGTATGTAACCGAAATTAATTCAAAAAATGGAGATTTAAAAAATAATTCTGCAGATATATTTTATAGAATTCATAAAAATTTACAAAAAAGTATTAAAAAACAAACAACAGATTTGCACCGTTTAGCAACTAAAATTAACGAAACAGCAAGTTTTTTTAAAAAAAACGTAAACAAAAGAAATACAAACAACAAAGCCAGTAAAAACGCTTTTAAAAATAGCTCATTTTTTATTACCAACAAATAAAAAAAATGGGGTTAAAAGTTTGAAAATTTTTGAAATTTTCAAAAAAAGATTTATGTCTTATTTTAGGAAGTTTTTATAGACAATTTTATGGTAAAATATTTTGAAGTTGATTGTGAAAACTTTAAAAACCCCCATTGAAAAACACTTTATTTGGTACTTTTGTTGGGTCTTTTTATTGTAACTTCAAGTAGCAACTATTATAATTTGTTTCAAAATTTTCTTTCAAAACTATTTTATCCTGTTATTTGCTAAGCATATTGATGTTCATTGCCGTTGCAAGATTTGTTTGAGACCTAATATATTTTTTACCTCCATCCCTAAAGGGATTAAGGCATTTTTCAATAAAACCGATCATAAAACGCATATTTTTGAAACAAAGAAATGAATTTTATAATAACTATAAGTTTATTGCAATAAAAATTTTAAAACTTTCGGAAATTTTGAGCAAAGTCTTTCGGAAAATTTCCGGAAATATTCAACCCTAAAAAGAATGTTTAATATAAAATTAAGAGAAGATAAAATAAGTCCGCAATGCAATAAAAAAGAAAAAACTACAGCACATATGATGTACGTATGCAAAAAAGTTGAACCTTTAATATTTTATTTACTTGATATTTTAGATACACTCTGCTCTTATGAACACCCTAATTACAATAACTTTTAATTTATTTTACTTAGATACGCTGCAAATGCGGGTCAAAAAGAGTTTGACCATTACACATTATCAAACTATTTTTAAATAGAAATCAAATAATGCAAAATTAACGTTTATTAGTTAAAGAAATGATAAGTAAGTTAGTTTCTACTTGTCACTCTTTTCTACTAGTTCTCTACAACTCTTCTTTGTGTTTAAAATGTTTTTCATTTTAACATTATATTATTAATAAATTGAAACCGTTTATCAAGTCCACTCTTACGTAAAACTGCAATTAGTTGGACGTGCGACTGTCAAGTCTAGTGGGAAGAACTAAAAAGTTAAAGTTTTAGAGAAATTATCACATGGTATGAACAACCTAAGGTAAAACAAGAAAAAACAAGCTAGGTTTAAAGACAAGATACAAATCAATAGCTGAAGGAAAGAGATTAGGTTTATCTGAAAAACAGATTACTAAGGTGAGTAAGAGATTTCACGCCACAAACATAAACAAGTTTAAGCAACTTTTAAAAAAACCAGCAGACTAATCACTTAATAATTAATCTGGCGGATTGGATATTTGGTGGTTTTTGAAACTAACAACTTTACTTTTTGTTGCTTTAACTGTAGTTTTGTAAGTAACTTATGAGCAAAACTTCAAAAAGCCGCTAAAAAATGCATATATAGGTCCACTGCAAATCTACTAAAACAATGTTTGCTGGCTCGATACGATTGATCACAAAATTCGCATACACAACCTAAAGCATTAACAAACAATCTAAAATGACCTCAACGTTGCTTAAACATTTAAAAATTTATTTTACAAATTAGTATTTTACAAATCAACATGCACGCTTGGACAAACAAGAATTTATATTTCTATATAACTTCTTGTTTGTCCCAACGTGCACATAAAAGGTAATAATTGGAGTTGTTACCTTTTATGTGCAGAACGCGATTCTTACAATAAGAATTTTATCAACTTATGTGAATATATTAAATACTTAAATTGAATATATTTTGATATATTAAATTTAAGTATATATATATTTACATAAGTTGAGAAAAATTCTTATTGTAAGAATCGTATTCTGCACATAAAAGGTACCAACTCCAATACAATACTTATATATTTATTTTTTTTACAACAAGCCCTTGTATATATTTCAGTTAATCAATGTTTACAAAGTTCTTGTTTATATATGTCTAAATAAAAAAAAAATACACACATAAATGCTACTATACCACACATATTTACAAATCATAAAGAAAGCCAATAATGGCGTTTTTAAAATAAATTCGTGGTTTAAAAATATATTGTTGGCTATTAAACTATGCATTTAAAAAGTATATGCAAGCCCGTGGTACTACTGGGCTACTAGGGACATGCTCGTGGTTGTCGTAAAAAATATTTAATCTACATAATAAGATATTAAGCAGCAAACTTAATAGTATTGTTTAGCATTTTTAATGCAAAATGCATTGTTGTATAATTTCGTAGAAGACTAGAAAGTCTTATCGACGAGTACCTTAATTTCATGGTTCTTACGGTTATCATTATTAAATAATAACGAGTGATACACATATATGTTTATATTTAGGCATGAATGAGATATTAATTTGATAGATATTAATTTGATATATATTAATTTGATAGATATTAATTTGATAGATATTAATTTGATAGATATTAACTTGATAGATATTAGTTTGATAGATATTAATTTGATATATATTAATTTGATAGATATTAATTTGATAGATATTATTTTGATAGATATTAATTTGATAGATATTAATTTGTTAAATATTAATTTGATAAATATTAATTTGATAAATATTAATTTGATAGATATTAATTTGTAGAAATTTAGTGCATTCAGGCTTTTAGTAAAGGTAAATTTATCTTTAATGCATGGGTATTTTTTTTTCTTTTATAAACATCTTCGCTTCTAACAAGACTGCAAGCAACCACTAATTAGAGTTGACAGACGACTTAAAAGATTGCAAATTATATGAATCAGGAAAGCGAATTCCAAAGAACTGATGTTCGAGGAAAAATACTAGATGAATAAGAGTTTTTGGAGCACTTAGGAACAGTCACAGAAAAAGGATGAGACTTAATTGAAAGACGAGTAACACGAGAATGAATTTTAGTAGATGGCGCATAAGACGCTAGCTATTTAGAATAGTGTCCATTATAGTATTTGTAGAAAAGAGAAAAAGAAGCGACATTACGACAATTTAATAATGGTTGAAGGTTGGCTGCAAAAGCAGGTCCAACTATGTTTACAATGCGTTTTTGTACCTTGTCTAAAAGAGAAAGGGCAATATTAGAAGATCCGCCCCAGATATGGCAACAGTATTCCATGCAAGGCCGTATTTGAGATTTATAGATATAGAGAATAGAATCCAGAGTAAGAAGTGTCAAGCTCGATAAAGAGATACAACTTTAGCAGATGCTAATTTTCAAAAGGATTTGGTATATGGTTTCCAAGAAAGATCGGAAGTAAGAGTTAATCCTGCAAGATGAAGGGTAGATGATTCATCGAGTACATTACCACTCATAAATATAGAAAGGTCTAAATTATTGCGATAACGATTGGCTGAAAAAAATTGAGTTTTATCTGAATTGAAGTTCACCAGTCACTGTGAGGCCCATGCTGTTGCAGAAGTGAGATTCTTTTCAAGCTCAAATGCCCCCTCTAAACAATCAGAGATTGTTGGCTTCTTATCATGACAAGAATAAATGGTATTATTAGTATTATTAGCATGACAGCTTTGGAAAAACCCTCCCAGACTTCTTTACCCAGAGTACAATACCCACGAGAGAAAAACAAGCAAATTCAGAAGGAGATCATTTGGTCATTCACTGCAAACCTATGCAAGACATTATTGATAAAGTATTGGTGTACAGAAAAATTTTCTGCAGTCACTTCTTTAAGCTTGGTATAAATGGTGGAAGTGGGTTCCTAAAATTCACTCTTGGTGTGATTGTAGATGAATCTTCAAAAGAACTGCATTCACTTTCCCACAAACAACTACTTCTCACACAAATGCAGCCCAAATATACCAGTGTTAGACAACAAGTAATAGTTGCTATTGTTGAAAATCTACCATTCATATGACGGCCTTAAGCTAATTTGGTCACTCATAAATCCAAATCAGATCTTGTTGTTTCTTGTGATTTGAAAGTAGCAAATTTTCTCCTTGGACTTCAATCACACTCCAGTTCCCATCCTTGTTCATGGTGCATTAGCATGAGCAAATTTATCTTTATTGTAAATTAGTCTTGGTGCGTGTTTATGTTTAATATAAAAGGATTTTAATTTGAATTTGTGGGCACTTGCCGACGTAATATTAGCATACGTTTTTCAAAACACTATTCCACAAATATTTACCAATACCCATAAACGTTGACAAACCTGCATTAACCAAAAAATATTGGTAAATAAATTATTTATATATTAATAAATATAAAATATATTTGTTGTCATAGGTTTGTGGTCAAAATAATAAAAAACTATATTACATTTTATTACATTTTAATTTATTTAAAAGTTACGTTACACTGTTATTAAAAATTATTAAAGGTTATTGAATAACCAAATTGCAATGTAAGAAAAACGATTTTTGATTATCGTACTTCTGTTAAAAAAAATTTCAATCACCATTCAAACACAGTTGCATGAGATAGGGTCCTGTTTTTGTGATGGAAGGCATACTTTGGGAATGCATTGACATGAGCAAGAATCTTTATTCCATATTTTGTTAGAAGAACACGTTTTCACTTCGGAACAAGCACATGCGCAGTTCACAATAGACCACTAAAATAGTTTTAAGTAAATATAGTATTGAAATATGTAAAAAAAAAAAATTATATTAATATAGTTAACTTCAAATTTAAACAACAATAGAAAAATAATTGTTGCAAAAAAATAAAGCACCATATCTTTTTAATCATTTTTGTTTTAAGTATACTATATTTACCTCAGATTTGTCAGAGGTAAATATAGCATACCATAATAAAGTGTACCTGTTTTCCGACTGGACACTTCTCAACAAAAGAAGAACAAGAACATGTGCAGCTATTTGGGTCATACACCTGACCTGGTGTACAATCTGATGCTGTTATGCGGCACTCCATTTTACAGCTTTTTGGTTGCAGCGTGGTTACTTTTCTTATTCTGTAACCTCCTAAATACAGTTAAACATTTCAATACATTTATTTATCTGATATTTTACAAATGAAATTGTTTTGTAAGCTCTTTGCAGAGGTTTTGAAATTTCTTACCGGAATAATCAATATCCACTACGTTTGCAGTAACATTAACTTGTTCGTCTGGTACGCATTTGTATATTAATGATTTTGTGGTACAACCACTACATTCATTAACTTGTATACATGCTGGAAACGTAAAGTAGCCTGGAACAAAGTCCACGTCGACAACTCGCGGCCGTATTGCGCATTCATATTCAGTAAACTCTAAGAATTTTCATAAAAAATAGTTTAACTTTTTTATATATCTTTTTCTGCCGTATTTCTTGTCAGCAATTTTTATTTTAGTTTTTTTATAGACGTTTTAGCACCATTTCTTCTTGTTAATAACTTTTATCTTATTTTTTAGTGAACACCGAACAAATTCATATCAAAACAATTTATTTTGCTTTTTATACCTAACATAAGTTACAATTTAATCCTAAAGTAAAATTTAAGTGCAAATTTATAAATAAACAGCAACTTAAATTACTTATGAAAGGAAAAATACTACACTAACTTTTTATAGAACCCTTCCCTATCATAACCAAATTAAAAAATAAATTATTGTGTATGACGTATCATGTACAACAATTTTCATTTATTTTTTTCATTTATTTCATTTTGTTTATCAAAATTAGCATATTAGGTTTTAGCAGTAAAGTTGTTAATATACTTGTGTATTTAAGAAAATCGGTAAACATTTGTTTCTTAAATTTTCATCACTTTTGTGTCCTTTATTAAATTTTTAGAGTGATTCGCCATTTATTTATTTTTTGCTGTAAATAATTTGAAAACATGTTGTATTAACATAAATTTTTTTTATTTGTTAGTTGGAAACTTGCTCATTTAATATTTGCATAGATAATGTAATAATTAATTCAACAGAACTAGATTATGAATATAGACGAATTTGATAGATCAAATACTACCAACGGTTTTCATAATATTTGGTTCAATTTGAGTTTGTATGTGTGTGTGTGTGTGCGTGTGTGTGTGTGTGTTTGTGTGTGTGTTTGTGTGTGTGTGTGTGTGTGTGTGTGTGTTTGTAATAATAAAAATATCTTTAAAGAACTTAAGAAGCGACAAAAATTACTTTTCGCTTTTTAACTTCTTCATTATTTATAAGTATTAGCAATTTTATTTATAATTATTACAAGTATTTATATTTCATGTATTAGCATTATTTATAAGTATTAGTAACTAGCAGCCGTAGCGAAGTGTTTAGCAGCCGTAGCGCAGTGTTTAGCAGCCGTAGCGCAGTGTTTAACAGACGGCGCAGTGGTTAGCGCGCTTGCGCTAACTACTGCGCACGTCTGTTAAACTAGAAATCAGAAATTAGAAATCCGTGGTACAACGCCACCTTTAGGCAAGCTTAAAAACATTGGTAAGTAAGGATGCGTGAACTTCCTTTCAAATGCTCATCCGTGGTGCTCTGTGAAAGGATCGTAAGGACTTCTTGGGGCACCTAAAATAGTTAATTTAAATTTTAAAGATATGTTTTCTTTTACTTTTTTTGTATAAAAAATGTGTAATCAGTTATAATATTCGTTCAGAGAAAAGGTCACTTTTAATTTATTTTATTTAATATTCATGTCCTTCAATAATTTATTATTTGAACCGAAAGTAATATGTTACGTATACTCTTGGTTCTCTAACCGCCACGGCTATATATATATATATATATATATATATATATATATATATATATATATATATATATATATATATATATATATATATATTCAAATTAATGTTTTTTTTAGTTACTTTTGAACAAATATTCATCAGTTTATGACCAGTGGCATAACTAGGGTGTGCAGGTATGACACGTATCATATGCGCCAACTGAGGAGGAAGGAGGGAAGGGTCAAAAAAGTGAAACTGAAACTAAAAAAAATATTTTTAAAAATATAAATACACATTTATATTTATAAAAATTTAGTTTTTATAGATATATGTGTAGAGGAATGTAGTAGTATAAAAAAAAAGTTTTGATTTTTTAAATATAACGTAAAAGTAAGAGTTCGAGAACGACAATGTGAATTTATAGGATTGTAGCTCATAGCGCTATGATAATGTTACTTTTGTATCTAAACACGACACTGATGTTTATCAAAAAAAGAAAAGAAAAAAAAACATGGTAGTATTTGTGAATTGTGATAATCATTCACTCAATTCGGTAGACATCCTTGTTACCAAAAAAGAAGTATTATCCGAAACCATTTTGAAACCATCAACTCATTTTATGTTGTTTTTTTTCAGCACAGTGATAAACTCAAAGCTGTTGTACCTGCTGCTTTCTTTCCTGAAGAGGGTAAAAACAGAACCATTAAAACCTGTCAATAAATACTAGAGGAAATAGTATCAGTTCTTTTAAACTTAATGGACGATGAAAACGTGACTATTTAAACCAAAAGTAACGCAAAGCAGTTATATAATCGAATACTAACATATGATTTTGGAATATTTTTAAAAATAATTATGCTGGATCGAAAGTTTTTGCAAATAAACAATTTTTAGGGCTCGTTACTCATGATTCTTTTAGATATTTGGGCACCCGAAAACTTTTCTTAAAAAAGAAAAGTTTTCGGGTGCCTAAATAACTAAAGTGCCCAAAAAAAAGGTTTTGCTAATTTTTAAAAACACAGAGGTTTTAAAAAAGTAGCAAAAGTGCTCATATTGCCTAATCCACTAGGTACTATGAGCACTTTAAAATAGCTTAAAAAATAATATCCATTAAATAAAAAAATACCAATCAGACAATTAGAAATAAATTTTGAAATATAATTTTTTTTTTAATTATTTAAATTTAGTCATATATTCAAGTCGCAAACCATTAAATATAAGTACAAATAGCAAGGGTAAGAAGAAAACGTAATTGGTCTCATCACCAAGCCCCTTATAATGAATCGTCATTAACAAAACTTATCATTAAAAAATAAAATGTTAAGCCACTTTTTGTTAAAACAATACTACATGTTTTTTTTTTTTATAAGCATAACGTTTATAAGCATATGGAGGCTCAGATTTGGAAAAAAGATAAGCATATGTAAGCATATTCCTGAGCCTCGATAAACCATTTAAAAAATTCAAATTTTATTTATTTTATTATTTCATTTATTTCAAACTTTATTTAATTTATTATTTCATTGATAGCATTTGTATATAGTATATATTTTTTATTTTTTATTATACTGTACTAAAATCATTTTATTTTTCTTATAACCATTAACCTTTAGTAACGCACTCATTTTAAGAAAGTATTGAAATAAGCATATTTTATTATAAATATGCTTAATTTTAAGCATATTTTCGAGTCTCTTTTAACTTTTTGCTTAAGCATACCCGAGCCTGTTTCAAAAATTTCATATGCTTATAAAAAAAAAAAAATGTACTAGGTTTTCTGCAAAAAAAAAAAAAAAAAAAAAAAAAAAAAATTAGTTTCTCATTTTTTCAATTTTGTTAACTCAAACTATTAAACAATAAAAATTAAAACTTTTCGATTTTAAATTACGGAAACATATTTAGTCTTGTTAAAATATTAACATTTTTACTATGTTTTGTTTTTATTCAAAAATCAATTAAAACCAATGCTATTTTACTAGGAAATTTCAATGAAAAACACTGGGTAATTTGAGCATGCATCATATTACACAAAAATTGCAATTTAAATAAAGTCAAACCTAAATGTTTTTATAGATTGTTTTTCAAACAAAAATGGATTTGATTTTTACATAACATATTTTTATACTAATATATTAACATATTTTTCTTTATGAAAAATTACATTATTTTACCACCGAAATTTCGCGTCACAGATTTAATTATAAGTGATATTTTAACAACGCAAAAAATTTAGAGGTCCTAAAGTCCTAAAGTATGGAATACTTTAGAAGGTCCTAAAGTATGGAATATCTTTCAAAAGGTACGGTAAATTCGTTAAGTTCATTCAAGTTTATAACAAAAAAAGAAAGTTTTAAAATTTGAGAAACTTTTTCGGTTAATGTTACCACTCTACTTTTTGTTGTTGTTGTTGTTGTTTAACAATCTTATTAGCGAATTACGCATTTTATTACGATATTTAATTGAAATTCTATTACGTATATATTTTACGAAATTTTATTACGTATTACGTATTACAATATTTTATTGAAATTTTGTTTAAGGGGCTCTATGAAAAGATTGCGATGACGTACTGTCATCCTCATCTTCTTTGAGCCCCTATCTGTTTTTACTTACTTTTTTTTTATGAAGCACGAAGTTGTAAAATTGTTATGTTATAAAAAAAAAAAAAAAAAACTATGTTAGATAAAAAAAATGTTATAAAAGTTATGTTATAAAAATTATGTAATAAAAAAAATGTTATAAAAGTTATGTTAAAAAAAAAAAAAAATTATGTTATATAAAAAATGTTATAAAAGTTATCTTATTAAAAAAAAAAAAAATCAGATGATAGCCGCTAATTATTGCATATAAATTTACGCTAAATCTACTGATTCCTGTTATTGCCACAAAAAGTTGATTCAAAAAATACAAAGCAACTTTACCTTCACTGCTAACATCTAAGAAATCTTTAAGTATGCTCTTATTACCAAGGTGCTCATACTGCCCTAATCTACCCTACTTAAAATATTGTATGTTTAGTTGAAGATTTTTCTGGTTCTGAACATTTTTGAAGAAAACAAGATTAAAATTGTTAGAAAGATAACTTTTATACGAGAAGAACAAGGTATTATTGAAACGTGGTTTACGATAAACATTTAAACATTGTCGAGAATCTAATCTCTTTTTAGTGTTTGCGCCTAGGTTCTTTTGAGAATTTTTGTTAAAAGCAAAGTAGAAAATTCATATCAAAATTCAAACAAAATAAGAACTCAATGAGAATAAAACGGTTGTAAAAGAGATTTAAAAATGCGAACAAAACGTTTAAACGATAAAAACGAATAAAAATGATATTTATAAAATAGTAAGGTAATATTCAATAAAATAAAAAATCTTACCAACTGATACACTACTATCTAAACTTTGACCAGGTTTTGGGGCTATGCCGTAAGTTGAAGCGCCAGAAAATGTTTTTTTTAACTTTATAAGGCCAGGTAATCCATACCCAACTAGAACATCTTCCACCGACTTCGCGTTTTTCAGAACGTCAATTAGCTTTAATTTAAGGAATACAAAACAATATGAGAAAGTCAATTTATTAAATAGATGTTTCTAAGTAATAATCCTCTTATAATTAGAAATATTTAAAAAAATAACACAAATAATGATTTAAAAAATAAAGATTTTAGATTTCTAATTACAAAATCGTTTATCATTTTTTACTTTTGTTAAACTTGTAACGCACATATTAATAGTATCATTAAGTCATCAACAAAGCAAAACTAAATATAGACAAAACTAATTTTAGACAAAACTAAAACAATACTAGTTTTAACTATATTATGTAATTTACAAGTCAAATTAACGTAACTCAACAGTTGAGGAAGCAGTTACTTTATAAGTGTAAAAACATCTTCAAAAAGAAAGGTTGCTAATAAAATACCATAAGTTACCTGGCTTTGTTTTTTTGCAAATTCAGATTTTGGTAACACGGCTTCCGTGTTTTGATCGATATTTTGATTCACATTTTTTCCTTTGCACACTACTAATCCTATTTTAAAGGATAAAAATAAAATGAACAAAATGTTGGTATTCATTATAGAAAGTATGTGAGTTTGTGTTTCAGATTTTTTTTTTTTTTTTTCGTTTTTTTTTTTATAAGTTTTTAAAGCTTACTAAACAAATAAAAAGTTGTTTTGACTCGCCGCAGTCAACTTAGACATTTGAAAAAAACAGATTATAATCTGGCTTTATTAAAACGTTCTTCTTTTACTAAAAAATTTTAAAATTTATAAATTATTTAAAGTTTTATTCCTGTCTGAAATAACTATAAAAATTTTTTTTTTTATTATCTGTCTTAAAATCAAGATTTTGGCGCAATTTCATTTTCTATAATCATTTGTAGTATTCTGTTCACTTCACACAATGACGCAAAGCAATGTTTGCACACACTGCTTTTTTATTTTATAAACAAAATTTTGTTTACAAATAAAATCGCGTTTTTTTTATAAGATAGCAAATGATTTTTAAAAAAAGAAATAATCTGCATATTTAGCTATTTGTAAGTTAATAATAAAAGTAAAATTTGTATTAATAAAAGATATTTATTTAAGTATGGTTTGCGATTTGATATTTCAATTTTTTTTTTTTCTTTTTTTTTTTTTTTTTAGTTTACATTGGTTGTCGTAGTAAATAAATTACTTTGACAAACACAAACAAGTTTTCAGAAAGAAGATCGTACTGATCTTATCATCAGAACCTTTTACAAGCGTGTGTATACAAACTAGATCAGAACATTATCAACAAAACAAAACGTAATAAACAATAAAAGTTCTAAAAAAATATATATATAAAATTACGATTAAAAAAATCTGACTACATCATACATAAAGATAATTAAATTTTTCTGTTTATATTTGAAAATGGGAAAAGTAAAATGCATGGCGAAATCGGACAAAAAAATTTCATTCCAAAGATAGAGTGCACAATGTGCATTACAAAACTGATTAAACTTGATTCGACAAAAGGGCTCAAACAAAAGAGATCTTTGAAAACGGGTAAAGATGTCATTTTTCCACATATACATAGTGCAAAAAACATTAAAAACATTAAGCTCATAAATATTGAGAACTTTCATTTCGATAAAAAGTGGTTTGGAATGAGTGTATCGATCCGCAAAATTTATTAAACGGATTGTATGTTTCTGACGGCGATAAAGGCATTTTAACTTACTTTTTTCAGTGCTTCCCCATGCAACATTAGCATAATTTAAATAACTATGATAAAGTTGTATTAACTATAATAAAGTTGAGTTAAACTTTCTTTACATAAATATGTTCTGGTTTTATATAGAATTCCAATATTTTCAGAAATTTTTGTACCAATATAGTCGATATGCGTTTTCCATGTTATGTTTTCATCAAGAAAAATACCTAAAAACTTTGTTACATTATGTCTTTTTTTTGAACATCATCAATAAAAATTTTAGGCAAACCTCGGGGTAAATAACCTTTTTTAGAGACTGGGTGGAAAAGAACCCAATTTGTTTTTTTAATATTAAGAGTTAGTTTGTTGCATTTAAACCATTTGTATATATTTTCAAGTTCATCATTCATAGTATAGAAGAGTTTGCAAATGTCATTATCGGAAAAGAATAAGTTAGTGTCATCAGCAAACATGATACTCATTAAATTTGAGGCATTATTAAGATCGTTTATATAAATTAAGATCAACAGTGATTCCAAAAAGGAACCTTGTGGAACGCCACATGAAATGTTTAGAAATTTATTTGGATGATCATTATTGCTAAAAACAAATTGCTTACAGTTGGATAGATAACTTTTGAACCATTTTATAACTTTGCAATTTATTCTATAATATTTTAGCTTTTGTAGTAAAATTTCATGGTCGACAGTATCGAATTCTTTCAAAAGGTCGATGAAAACACCTAATGTATATTTAGACTTTTCAATAGAATTAGAGATTTCACGTACAAATTGAATAACTGCATGTTCTGTGGAATTATTTCTTTTAAAGCCGAATTGATAGTTGTATAAAAAATTATTAGAATAAAGATAATGTATAGTTTATTGTACATTATACGGTCTAGCATTTTTGAAAATGTGGAGAGGACAGAAATAGGGCGTTAATTACTGATATTTGTTTGATCACTTTCTTTTAATATTAACTTTAGCAATATTTAGTTGTTCAGGAAAAACTCCTTGGCGTATAGATGTTCCATAGACTTTAAATAGGAAATCTTTTAAGTATTCAAAATATTCAATGACTATATTACCGTTTATGTCATCGGCTTCGGATGATTCATTTTTTTAAAGAGTTTTGAAAGCTTTTTCAAACTCTAGATAGTTAAGAAGATAATTCATTGGAACTAGTACAATTATCCATTTCTACTAAAAAAACTTTAAACGTAGCATTTGTATAAGGAATTTTTTTTGCTAGTTTGGGATCGATGTTAACAAAAAAATTATTAAATTCATGAGCTATAGCTCTTGATTCGCATATATGCTTGTTATCAACTATAATTTTTAGGGGGAGGGAACCTGAGTATCTTTTTTGTCTACCACTAATTTCATTCATTATTTGCCAAGTGCGTTTTGAGTTATTTTTAAACTTATCTATGAGTGTTGAGTAATAATTTTTTTTTCAATTTTTTACGAACTTTTTCAAATAGGTATTTGTATTCTTTATATATTCTTTCATTTGCAGATGATTTTGTTTTAAGATATTTTATATAAAGCTTCTGTTTTATTTTTGATGACTTTTAAAATCCCCTGGTCACCCATGGGTTGTTTATATTTTTCGGATTTAATGTTTTTATAATGATGGGAAAATTAGCGTCATACACGGAATAAAATGTTTCAAAAGATTTATCGTAAATTTTTTCTGCATTATCATTAAAATTAATATGGTTCCAGTGTAGGTGTGAAAATTGGTCTTTGAATTGTTGAATCGGATATATCTGTTGTAATGATATTATCAATCAAAGACGCTGAGTTTTTTGTTACTCTCGTTGGACGATTAGTTAACGGGATTGCTCCAGTTTCAAAAAAAGAATCGTCAAAGTTATTATTATTTTTTTTTTTGATTTTATTATATGTATAGAAAACAATTTATATTTAGGTCCCCAATAAGGAAAATCTTTTTTTTTTCTTCATAGGCTGGTGGCCAACATTGATAATCGCTTCATCCTGATGGACACATCTAATAACTGAAATTTCTATATTGATACAAGCGTTTCTTAGTATAAACATTATAAAAATAAAAACTTGCCTCTTTTTTACTCAGCAGTTTTTTCAATCAAGCATTATCGTTTTTTTAACGATTAGTCTATCGTTGATGATTGATAACACTGGCCAACAAAAAAAATTTTTTTTTTGCTGCCGAGGATGTTTTTACGAATTTATAGTATATCGGGTGTACTGATTTCAGAAATGACATTAGTTTTAGATACAGGGTGTTCCAGATATATTCTTATACAAATATCTTCGTTCATGCATATTTTACAGTAAAATAGTTTTATTTCTTTTTAAAGGGCATACCTTTATATATATATATATATATATATATATATATATATATATATATATATATATATATATATATATATATATATATATATATATACTTTTTCCTGTTTTTAGAACACAATGAGTTCTTCACGCAGAGGATGTTTGAATAACCCCAATGCATTCTGCCACATCTGTAGTGAATGTTGCCATGAGAGCCAAAGAAGAAATATTACTAACTTTGTGAAGCAAGCATATCTGGCATACTTTGGAATGAAACTCGAAGACCAAGATAAGTCTTGGGCTCCCCATATTGTATGTAAAACGTGTGTCGAAAATCTACGTCAGTGGAAAAATGGACAAAGAAAAGGTTTAAAATTTGGTGTGCCAATGGTATGGCGGGAGCAAAAGAATCACGGCAGTGACTGTTATTTTTGTTTGGTTAATGTGAAAGGTATCAATTGTTTCAAGAAACGTAAATTTGAGTATCCGGATTTGGAATCAGCAAGGCGACCTGTACCACACTCAGACGATGTCCCCATTCCAGTGTTCACTACACTCCCAGATCTAACAGTGTCTGATGAAGAAGATATGCAGAATTCGGTGTGCGAACATGCAGATAGTGGTAGTGAATATGAAGACAGTACTTCTAAACAGCAACAGTTCTCCCAGGAAGAGATCAATAGTTTAGTACGAGACTTAAGTCTATTCAAGCAAGATTCTGAGCTTTTAGCATCTAGACTAAGTGAAAAGAACAGTTTGAAGGCCGAATGTAAAATAACTTTTTTTCGGACAAGAGAGGCAGCACTTCTTCCATATTTCATTCAAGAAGAAAAAGTAGTATATTGTAGGAACATCCCTGGACTCCTCCTCCAAATGGGGTTACCTGAATACCGACCAGAAGATTGGCGATTGTTTATAGATAGTTCGATGAGAAGTTTGAAGTGTGTTTTATTGCACAATAGCAATAGTTATGCATCCATCCCAATACTTCACTCAACAAAACTGAAAGAGGAATATGAAAATATAAGAATGATGTTGCAGAAGCTTAGATACAATGAGCACCAGTGGTCTATATGTGTTGATTTAAAGATGGTAAACTTCTTACTAGGGCAGCAAAGTGGATATACTAAGTACCCTTGCTTCATATGTTTTTGGGATAGTAGGGCTAAAGAAGACTACTGGAAAAAGGTAGTATGGCCTGCAAGGGAAAATATGACTGTAGGTGCATCAAATATCATTAACGAACCACTGGTAGACAGGGGAAAAATTATTTCCCCACCACTCCACATCAAACTAGGACTGATGAAGCAATTTGTAAGAGCCCTAGACAAAAATGGTCAATGTTTCAAATATATTTGCAGATTTTTTCCAGGCTTGAGTATGGAGAAAATCAAAGCTGGAATCTTTAGCGGCCCTCAAATTCGCCAAATCATCAAGGATGAGCAGTTCCTATATACAATGACAGATATTGAAGCATCTGCCTGGAAAAGTTTTGTCTTGGTTGTTCATAACTTTTTGGGCAACCATAAATCTCCCAACTATGAAGAAATCGTACAGAAAATGCTTTCAGACTTCAAAACATTGAAAGCTAATATGAGCATAAAAATTCACTT